TGTAATTATCCTGATTTGATCATTACACAAAGCATATGCATACCCAAACACATTGTACCCCATATACATGCACAATTATTATGTGCCAATTAAAATTTAACAAGTTATAATTCATTGGCTTGTTAAGATATTCATTTCTAAATATGATTTATCTAATAAAAGGGACAAGGATTCTGGAAAATGGTTAATTCTAGAGCTGGGGCAGGGAAAATACATCATGAGTCTGGAGCATATCATAGTGCTAGAAAGTAAGGAAACGCTACACACATACCCACTGAAGGTGGGACAATGTCAGAGGAACACAGGAGCCCACTGAAAGATCTCCAACTGGCCAAATATGCAACAGTTTGAGGAACAAAATTAATAAAGTAGTTCTGGATTATAATACAAAGTACTAAATAAATATCCATGAATCCATAGTGAGATAAATAAATGAGTAAATAAATCAGAAGGTATAAATCTTTCTTACAGAAGAATTCCGAATATTATAGGTAAATACTCTGTCCATCCAGGCAGTGCTCTTCCTCCTATCCTTTTGAGGGTGAACTGGACTTGACTCATTTTAAAGAACAGAGTTCAGAAAGATGAAAAATAGCAACTTTAAGTGGAGAAACCTCGCCATTACCACTCTAACCAAGCGATGAAGATTAACACTGCCAATGATAAGTCATGTTCATGTCATGTAGCCTGAAAGATACAATGTGATGAGAAATACACTCCAGAGGTGAAGTGGTATTTTTCCCCAAAACACACAATCTCAGTCTAATCATGAGAGCAGCACCTGACAAATCCAAATTGAGAAGCATTCCACAAAATACATGATCAGTAGCCTTCAAAGCTGTGAAGGTTTTGAATCATAAGGAAAGACTGAGACAGAGGACACCAAGAAGGCATGACAATTAAATGCAATGTAGAAACCTGGATTGGAACTTGGAACAGGAAAAGAACACAAGTGAAAAAACTTGTGAAATCTGAATACAGTGTGGGGTTTAGTTAATGGCAATGTGCCAATTTTAATTTCTTATTTTTGATGTGTACCATGGGTTCTGTAAGATGTTAACATTACAGCAAACTGGGGAAAGGATATGCAGAAATTGTACCTCTTTGCAATTTAAATATAAAATTTAAAATTATTCCAAAATAAAAAGGTTATTAAAAAATCATTAGCCCAAGCAAAACACATCTGTAGATGAATCTGGCCTGAGGCCTTCTGTTTGATCCTCTGGTTTAGAAGGAAAATAAATGTTCCCATGACATTGTCCCCTCTGAATCATCAGAGATCACAGTAAGCAACTAGCCCTTAGCTCAAAGAACAATCCTCCATTACACTTATGTACAATCTTTTCCTTCCTACTACTGTAATAAATGACCTGATCTTCCCTCACTCCTATATATATCTATGTTTTGTCTTTCTCCTTCCTGATATGCCAGTGTAATGGTTGGAGCTGTAATAGCTATGTGGATCATGAAACGACCTTTGGACTGGAAGCCCTGTTCAGTGGAACAATAAGATAATGTATTTTATCTAATCAAACATAATTTAAGGCACACCATTATTCTATGTACCACAAAAAAAGTGCTACCAGTTAAATTAGAAGACAGTGTTTTCTTATCCCTTAGATTTTTACATTTACAGTTACTGGAAAATCTTTTTTCCACTTCTTTAAGCACAGGCTTTTGTTATTGAATCATTCTTATGTGTACACATAAAAAGGAAACTATGTGCTAAATAAATTGTTTCAAGTACTGCTAAAACTTCAGATTCAAATTTCAACTCTTCTGAATCACTTCTGTACTCAGAATCATTGATATCTCTTAATATCATCCTCTGTGCCATCAAGCATGCTGGTAATGCAGTATTTTTTAAAAGGGTGCAAGTCTAATATCTCCAGGATTTTTTCATAGCCAATGATACCACTTTGTTTAGTTTTGCAGCGCATCCTCAGGCAATGACAGGTATGGCCAACAGTGATTATAAGATACATCCCAATTTCAAATATGTTAAAATGTAAAGAAAACAATGTGCCTCTTCAAATCCGTGAAATCTGATTGAAAGCTCTTCGATGTATGAAAGAAGTATGGGAGAAAACAGTTCAGTAGCCCTGAACTGTTTTCTCCCATACTACTTTTATACATGAAAAGGAAAACCTATCTTTTATAAGACTCTGCTTTTCTGGTCTTTGTTACTACTCATAACCTAACCCAAACCAAGCAGTCACAGGATTCCTAAAAATATGACAGCCATTAGTACTTTCCTTTCTTACTGTACCTCATCCCATTCCTATAGCTCCCTTGACTAGTGAATCAAGGTGTACATTTCTTTCCTTTTACCCTTTAGGTGTCCTCACACTTTGCTAATATGGTTACTCTCATTTCACCTTTCCCTTCAGCTTTCCTGAGGCAAATTCTCCATCAGTATCTCTCTCAAACTGAACTGAGGACTATAATTAAAACAACAACAACAGCTACATCAAATTGTTATTTTAAAATCTGAAGCATAGTATCACTTTCAAGGTTACAGATAATGCTTTCCTCTACTAAATACTTGATTAGATGTATCTCTCAGGCTTATGCAAAGAAACTGTAATTGCTGGTAAATGAATAGGAAAAGGAGAATTTAAAAATCAGAAATGTAGAGCAGATTTCCAGAGTAGAGAAGATTCAGGAGAAATTAATGGGTGCTTTGTACTGCTTGTCACACACATTTCTAAGAAAAAAATACTTTTCCTTTTTCTGGAAAATGAAGTACAAGTTGTCAGTGACAACCATCTATTAAGAAATTTCCTTTGTGATAGAGTGAGGGTTTTTTCCCTAGTGGTAAATAATTCAACACAGTTAATTTGAATCTGTGTTTGAGCCTGAGATAAAGTTAGCAATTTTATCATTTTCCCTCAGTCTGTCCCGATAGTATCATTGTCTGAGACTTTGGTACCCATAGCAGCAGCCACTGTTTTGGCCATCACTCCCCCAAGCAACAGAGCACAATGAATGACTGACAAGCATCAGTTGTATGTCTCAGGGTGGTATTCTGCAGGGCTGGAAGAGTGAGGCACAACTCACTCTTTAGTATTAAATGTCAGGCTATCAAAGAATTAGAAAGGCTGTGTGTATGTGAAATGTGGCCCATCTGTAAGAAGTTTCCTCACTCCTTTTAAGAGGAAGGTGACAAGGGAGGGTGAGAAAATGAGGAGACTTACAGCAATGGACAAGGTCAAGACATTGAAAAGTGCCAGTAGGGCCTGCTTGGTCTAAATGGTTCTTACGTTTTTCCACCGTTGCCCCACATATTCAAAAGACTGTTTGTGGACCCTAAAACTGAACCAAAAGGAGGGGATTTAGACCATTCATGTTTTTCTTGCAGTGGAACGAGAATAGAGACAATTAAGCTGCCGCTTTACCTAGACTTCCCAGCCAGGGATCCTGAAAGAAAAGCTGTGAAATGTGACACTACAAATAGTGGCATGTGATAGGTGCTGGAGTGTAATCACAATTCTCTTTGAGTCTTGCAGGTGAGGAAATCCTGCCTTTTCAGGTAAAATAAAAGGATGTAGTTCTAAGCGGACTTCTCTGCATTATCCCGGGGTCTCTCTGAATCACAAGAAAGGGAAAAATGGGTAAAGAGGGGACCCCGTGGCCAAGAGGGAACCAATCTGGCATCGGCTATAGATCTCAGTAAAGAGACCACAACAGGCAATATAGAGACAATAGCACACTGCATATGATAAACAGACTGGGCTTCCCTGTCTAGGCTTTGACATGAGCAAGATTTACAGATAGAGCATGTGTGTTTTGTAGCCACCCCCATTTACCTGTTGTGCTTGAAGAGAAGCCACTCACAGTGAAGACATGTAGAGGGATGGATGGTGCACTCTTTGGGGATTTCCAGCCATAAGGCCTTCTTAGGTATTCAGTGCCAACTCAGGCAACAGTGTTACTGTCTGTTTTGTAGAAAGAACCTGAACAGAGGGATTCAGGTGTACAGGTGTTGGCGGCCTTCCTGTAAGGTGCCCTGCTACTTCATACAGTCTGTTGCTTATTCTGAAGGCCTCTTTCATATAAGAAGGATTTTGGCTAAGGTTGAGAAGCTGTCCCCACCCTAGACTGGAAGGCACACCTGTAATTAGGAGAGAGACTACAGTGATCAGGGCTCTCTTTAAGAGTGTTGGGGGATTTGCCTCCCAGGGTTGGTTATTTGGCTAGATTCCCAGCCTACCCACACAACCTTCTTTAACCCGTTGATACACTTGTATGGTACCAGAAAGAAAAAGGAACATGGCATCAGAAGATCAAAGTTTATGTCCAAATTCCACAACTTCTTGCCTGTATGGCCTCCCTTTTGTCACTAGTAAAGTCACAATGCTTGTCCTTCCTTCTTCCTGAGATTCTTGTAAAAACAAAGTATGATAATGTAAATAAAAAGACTTGGACTTGCAAAGTGCCATTTTAGTTTGTCAGTCTCTTGGCTATGGAGAAGCCAGCTTAAGGCTCCCATGATAACTGTAACCTAGGGTGAGCTTGCTAAAGAGGTACCATGCCATGCTGTCACCCAGAGCCCTCACTTGCTACTCAGAATCAACAAACGTCAACATTGGCATATTTTACTAACCAAAGTTTTCATGTAAATTTGAACACCCCTTTGTTTATTTTAATCAGTGCCCAATCCCATTCTCTTCACTTCTTCCCCAGATGCAACTACTATGATGAATTCTGGACCATGTTTTACACTTTACCATGCCCATACATCCCACAGTCACCAGGGCCCAAGACTGCCAGCCCCACCCCGTGCCACCCCACATACCGGGATAGTTTACAAACGGAAGACGAATGTGTTTTCCAGGGGCCCATAGAATACCATTCCCCTGCACCCCCGCAGATCCTAAGCTGCATGCAGATGGGGCAGGGGTGGGTGGTGGTTGGAGAGACTGCTAGATACCTACTTTAAAGTTGCATGGGGATGTGCACTGATTCCTAAAAGGTGAGAGTTGCAGGCACGCATCAACTGGACACCTGTATTGCTTTGAGAACCAGATAACTTTATTGCTAACAATAGTAAAACTGAGAAAAAACTGAAGAGAACGTTCTCAAAGGGCAGCATGCAGGTTCCACCTGAAGGCCCAACTTAGGGAAGGCACCCCATGGCTGTGGGGCCCTTCTGGGCTCAGGTCTCTCTGACACGGCCGCTCAGGGTGAGCTTGTCGAACAGGTACTCAGCCAGGCCAGCTTCCGGGGAACATATCTTACGCAGGTTGCTCACGTAGTCACCCAGCTCTTTGATGGCCTTGACTTGCTCGTGCAGGTAGTGGCTCTCCAGGAAGTCGCACAGATGAGGATCGCCCTTCTCGGTGGCCAGTTGGTACAGCTCCAGCAGGCTCTGGTTGATGGTCTTTTCTAGATTGAAGGCGCACTCCATGGCCTTGAGCCCGCTCTCCCAGCCTTGGCGCTCTGGCTTCCTGATGTCGTGAAGGCAGATGAAGCCACCGCGCTGGTTCTGCAGCCTCATCAGCTTCTGGGCGCGCTCCATCTTGTCGTCTGACAGGCACAGGAAGTAGTGGTAGAAGTTCTTCAGGGCCACGTCGTCCTGGTTGAAGTAGAAAGCCATGGACAGGTACACGTAGGAGGCGTAGAACTCCAGCTTGATGTGGCTGTTGACGGCATCCTTGCAGTTGTTGTCGTAGTTCTGGAGCACTTGCAGAGGTGGGGCGGTGGCCATGGTGAGCAGCACGGGTGCAGCGAACACACAGGCGAAGTCGGTGTGGTAGCAAGGGCAGCGGCAGAAGCGGCAACAAACAGCGGTTGGCGAATAGCGAGTGTGTGACAGAACCGGAAGGGACGGAACCGGAAGGGACGGAACCGGAAGGGACGGAAACGGAAGTGGGCAGTGGCTACCGTTAGGAAGGGGTATGGTCTGTCGGTGGTGGAGGGGTGGGGAGCACGAGCACTGAGTTCTCTCTGAAATCCATGCTATTTGGCACTGAACATTTCAAGACCATCTTTAACAAATAACTGCTCTAGGCCGGGCACAGTGGCACATGCCTGTAATCCCAGCACTTTGGGAGGCCAAGGTGGGCAGATCGCGAGGTCAGGAGATGGAGACCATCCTGGCCAACATGGTGAAATCCCATTTCTACTAAAAATTAAAAAAATTAGCCTGGCCTGGTGGCACGTGCCTGTGGTCCCAGCTACTCGGGAGGCTGAGGCGGAAGAATCGCTTGAACCCTGGAGGCAGAGGTTTCAGTGAGCCGAGGTTGTGCTACTGCACTCCAGCCTGGCGACTAAGACTCCATCTCAAAAAAAAAAAAAAGTAACTGCTTTAGGCTGACAGCAGTACCTTATTACAAAATTAAATTCCTTACCCATGAGTAGTTACTGCCCATCTTGCCTACCTCACAGTCCCAACAGCCACAAATGAACTTTCTATTTCTAGAGATTTACTTATTCTGGACATTTCAAATAAATGAAATCATGCTATATGCAGCCTTTTGTAGATGGCTTCTTTCATTTAGCATATATTTAACTTTTATCTTTATGGCTGAATTATATTCCATTGTATGGTTATACCACATTTTATTTACCTATTCATCAGTTGATGGGCATTTGGGTTGCTTCCATTTTGTGACTCTTATGACTAATGCAGCTATGAGCATTTTCGTAATAGACATATGTTTTCAATTCCCTTCGGTATATACCTGGGAGTAGAATTGCCGGGTCATATGTTAAGTCTCTGTTTAACCTTTTGAGTAACTGCTAGACTGTTTTCCAAAGTGCTCTCATCATTTTACATGTCCACTAACAATGTATGAAGGTTCCAACACTGTCATTGTTGTCGTCGTTTTAGTGGATGAAAGTGGTATCTCACTGTGGTTTTGATTTGCATTTCCCTAATGACTAATGATGTTGAGCATCTTTTTATAGCTCTTTGTATATCTTCCTTGGAGAAATCTCTATTCAAGTCATTTGCCCATTTTAAAATTGGGTTATTTGTATTGTTGAGTTTTAAGAGTTTTGTATACATTATGGGTTTAAGTCTTTTTTCAGGTATATGATTTTCAAATATTGTCTCTCATTCTGTGTTTTTTTTCACTTTCTTAATGGTGTCCTTTGAACCACGAAAGTTCTTAATTATGTTGTTCAATTTTTCTGTTTTTCTCTTGTCACTTGTGCTTTTAGTGTCCTATCTAAGAAATCATTGCCTAATTCAAGGTCATAAACATTTATGCCCAGGTTGAAGTTTCTCTCTTTCTCTCCCCCCCATCCTTCCTTCCCCCTCCCCTTTCTCTCTGTTTCTGTTTGTCTGTCTTTCCAGAGTCTTGCTTTGTGACCAGGCTGGAGTGCAGTGGTGAGATCTCGGGTCACTGCAACCTCTGCCTCCCAGGTTCAAGTGATTCTCCTGCCTCAGCCTCCCAGCTAGCTGGGACTACAGGCATGCATGACCAAGCTGAGCTAATTTTTTGTATTTTTAGTAGAGATGGGGTTTCATCATGTTGGCCAGGACGGTCTTGATCTCTTGACCTTGTGATCTGCCCAGCTTGGCCTCCCAAAGTGCTGGGATTACAGGTGTGAGCCACTGCACTGAGCCTACATTTAAGTCTCTAAATCATTTTGAGTTAATGTTTGTATATGATGTGAGATCATTGTCCAATTTCATTCCTTTGTGTGTTGTTCTAGCACTATCTGTGGTTCTTTGTGTGTTGTTCTAGCACCGTCCAGTTGTTCTAGCACCATCTGTGGAGAAGACCATTTTTTCTCCAATAGTTGGTGTTGGCATACTTGTAAAAATCAATTGACCATAGATGTATGGGTTTATTTCTGGACTCCCAATTCTATTCTGTCACTCTATGTGTCTAAACTGATGTGGGTACAACACTGGCTTGATTACTGTAGTTTTGTAATAAGTTTTGAAATTGGGAATTGTAGTCCTCCAACTCTATTCTTCTGCAGGATTGCTTTGGCTATTCTGGGTCCTTTTAATTTCTATATGAATTTTAGGATATACTTGTCAATTTCTTTTTTCTTTTTTTTTTTTTTTTAAGCCAGCTGGGATTTTTATAGGGATTACATTAAACCTGTAGGTCATTTGTGGGAATATTGATATCTTAATAATATTCTTCTAATCCAAAAACATAGGATGGGGCCCCAAATCAGAATTTCTTTTTTTTTTTTTTTTTTTTTTTTGAGGCGGAGTTTCGCTCTTGTTACCCAGGCTGGAGTGCAATGGTGCAATCTCAGCTCACCGCAACCTCCGTCTCCTGGGTTTAGGCAATTCTCCTGCCTCAGCCTCCTGAGTCGCTGGGATTACAGGCACGTGCCACCATGCCCAGCTAATTTTTTGTATTTTTAGTAGAGAAGAGGTTTCACCATGTTGACCAGGATGGTCTCGATCTCTTGACCTCGTGATCCACCCGCCTCGGCCTCCCAAAGTGCTGGGATTACAGGCTTGAGCCACCGCGCCCGGCCCCAAATCAGAATTTCTAAACATCTCAGGTGATGCCAGACCACATTTTGAGCAGTAATGCTCTGAGAAGGAGGAGGCCTCTATGTCTTATCAAGATTTGGAGATAAGGAGGACACATATATTGGACTCCACAAGGAAAAATGCCTGTTCTCACATCACAGACAGTGCTTATGCTATTATACTAGATGTAATTTTCTATGGGAAAGGGAAGAGGCCTTTCTTCTATCACAAAAAATTGTGAAAGACTTTAAAATCAGCAAAAACAATTTCCTGGATATGCTTTTTTTTAAATAATTTTTATTTCCCATTTATTTATTTTATTGCATTTTAGGTTTTGGGGTACATGTGAAGAACATGCAAGATTGTTGCATAGGTACACACGTGGCAGTGTGGTTTGCTGCCTTCCTCCCCATCACCTACATCTGGCATCTCTCCCCTTGCTATCTCTCCCCTACTCCCCACCCCCCACTGTCCCTCCCCTATTTCCCTCCAACTGACCCCGGTGCGTAGTGCTCCCCTCCCTGTGTCCATGTGTTCTCATTGTTCAACACCCACCTATGAGTGAGAACATGCAGTGTTTGATCTTATATCAAGACCTGGATATGCTTTTTAGAGTGCCTTTCTGGGTTATCTCCACCTTTCATTGACTTTGAGTTGTTTTCTGACTCTTCATGTTATAGAAAATTAATAATGTAAAGATTCTTGTCCACAGAGATGCAAATAAATGTCTGGAATGCAATTGATCTTTGACTCATTTTGCATTTATTTGTACATTTTTTATTTCAACATTCTTCATTGCCTATATATGTGTGGCTCTTTGAATTCTCCTTTGAACCATTTGTAACATCTTACTGGTTTCCTCATTAATTAATAAGTTTTAATGTTTTATACATATATTTTATAACTATATAAGAAATCTGATTTTACTTTTTCCCTTAATTATTCTTTAGCAGTCCCCATATCAATCCCTACCGGACCAGGAACACAGTTGAAGCCCATGGGAGTTGACTTGGTAAAGTGAGCACTTTCATGGGTAGCTCACCTGAGATATGATTCCAGAAAATTACTTAGGACCTAAGGGCATAGAATTCCTGACTGGAATATGGACTGTGGAAAGATAGCATTTCTGAGGAGAAGGAGGCAGGGCGTTCTCTAGGGTTGTAGGAGACCAGTGCAAACTAGCAGAGGAAGTGGGTATCTAGGGTGCAGGCCACAGAGGTACCTCACCAGCAGAACACGGTAGCCACTGTGGTGCTGAGGCTGGCCTGGTGCAAACTGGGGAGAAAGTAGGGGCAACCAGTAAAGGTCTGTAGAAAACTGGGACCAGCTGAGAACCAGGGAAGTGATGAGAGTTTCCAGGCAGAGAATATAGTTAACAGATTGACTCACATGGGAACTTGACAGGCTGAGGTTCATGGCCTGAGTAAAGTTAACCCTGGGAAAGAGGTAGGAACCTGAGCCTTTGGAGCCATAATGAAGGATCCTCTCATCAGCACTGTTGTGCTGCCTGAATCATACCGCTGGAAGGGGTGTTCGAATCTACAGATATTAAGAGTGTGGAGTATCCAGGACTGGGCTGTGGGCTCTATCTTCCATAGAAGTTTCCTTCCAGCTGGTGATCAGATGTAGGGAAGCTCTAATGCATTCTTCTTGGCTCTACTATGGAACAACTTTTTAGCACAAAGGCTGTACGATAGTGGTGGCTCCTATTTGGTTGGACACTAAAGAGGCATGTTCAACACTCACATCCATACCATATTCTAAGAAAGAAAAAGCTCCTTCCAGTCTCTTAATTCCTTGCTGTTCTGATTTTGGGGGGAAAAAAGAATCACTATATTGAGAAGCAAAGGAAAACCCTCAGAATTTAGATATGACCATTGTATGTATTGATTTTGTGTAAGTCAATGGCTGATATTTGTTAGTTAAATAGAAATTGTTTCTAAGGTTGTAACTTTCCACTTCTATTCAGTGTGCTAGATAGTCTCCATGCGCCTCTCTAAGACTGCTCTGTCCTTCTCCATCTTACTTGGCACACTGGGAATGGGAGGCTGACCTATATGTACTGCATCCCTAGGCCCCTTGTGCTCTCTGACTACTAGTTGGATTCAGCCAATGGGAGGCACTGGCAGGATATGGGAGGACAGGGGAGGAGTGAAGTTGAGGTATTTACTCTCGTGGCTCCCTCTCTTCAGGGTAGATAATTAAGAGGCACCTTTATTTCCCTGTTATAGATTTTGCCCCCTGGACCATTTTTTGCAGTAGGACCATTCTCAGCATAGGCCTTCTGCAAACATTACTACAAAGAACAGGTATTCTTTGGCTCAGGTTTAATGCACAGCCTAAGAAATT